ATACATGATCATCAGAAAAGAGCAAATGCCTAATTCTCTGAGATAATAAAGGTACAGGCAAGAATCAGTTACTATGGTTGGGTGGAACTTGAGATGGAGGGAACAGAAGGGAGGTTGAAGGCTTTTGTGTTTCTTCTCTCTTCTGTTTTTTCAATAATATATTTGATAAGGTAATCTGCTGAGAGTGAGGACAGAGGGACAGCATAAAGAAAATAATGCTGTTTAGAAATGAGGACTGCAAGAAAGCTCTCAGCAGAGTGATCAAAAGATCACTGAGCAATTTAGGGAGTGCATCTTTGATTGCTCCCTTTGATTTATGTTTTTTTTTTCCCATTTATTTTTATTAGTTGGAGGCTAATTACTTTACAATATTGTAGTGGGTTTTGTCATACATTGACATGAATCAGCCATGGATTTACATGTATTCCCCATCCCGATCCCCCCTCCCACCTCCCTCTCTACCCGCTCCCTCTGGGTCTTCCCAGTGCACCAGGCCCGAGCCCTTGTCTCATGCATCCAACCTGGGCTGGTGATCTGTTTCACCCTAGATAATATACATGTTTCGATGCTGTTCTCTCAAAACATCCCACCCTCGCCTTCTCCCACAGAGTCCAAAAGTCTGTTCTGTACATCTGTGTCTCTTTTTCTGTTTTGCATATAGGGTTATCATTACCATCTTTCTAAATCCCATATATATGTGTTAGTATGCTGTAATGTTCTTTATCTTTCTGGCTTACTTCACTCTGTATGTGAATCAAAACACTCCCCGGCTTTGCATTGGTTTTCTAGCTCTGCGAGCATTTTGATATTGAAGTGCTTAAATGGTTAAATGATTAGACAACTGCCTTTGCTTCCTCTAGGAAGAATCCTTACCAAGTATTGATATTTCCTTCTAAACTTCTCTCAGTATGTCTGAGTCAGTTTGGCAGTTGTCACCACCTTTTTTTTTTTTTTTCTGTTAGCAACTCCCCAGTTTTCATTTTAAGAGAAAAATTATAGTCCTCCACACTTCCTCCTCAACTCTCTACCATACCCTTTCTAGCTTCTCCAACCCAAAGCCCTTCCTTCACAAGACAGAGTTGTATTAGTATCTGCTAAGAGCTGAACATAGAAAACCAGATTTGCTTCTTTATATTCTAATTTTAACTACTAATACATATAATCTGGATGCCGTGTTAATTTCTATTGAACTTTTTAAAATGTTCTCATTCATTCAGAAATGTGTCTAGTGCCCACTATGTGACAGTCATGGAACTAGACAACCAGGGATAGAAAGAATAAAATCTGGCACCTAAAAGTCATATCATGCAGTAAACTCCCTTTTCATCTATGTTTAAGGGTTGTCTCAGAATACACTGTGTGGAAGTTTCAGAATGAAGAATTAATGTTTTTCTTTCTGTTTCTTTCTACTGTTTACCATGTTTTATTTTCACAGTTTTAACATTTTGTCTTCCTCCAGGACATTGAAATAAGGTAAAGGGATGAAATATTTCTTGATTACGTTGACTTCATATGTATGATGAGATACACAAACACAGGCACAGTTGTTTTATGTTTAAATGAGGAACTGCTCCTTCCTCATTAAAAAACTGTAGTGTGTACTCATGATTCTTGAAATAGAAAATCAGAGGATGATGATAAACATTCATTATTATGTTTATCCTTCCTCCCGCATTTGCTTCTTTGTACTATTCTAGGAAAGGAGTAAACACATGGTATTTGATGATTTGTATTCTTCCATGTGTTATTGAATTTATTCCTTTGATGTCTCCTTTAATTTTTTAAAAATATTTTCTGAACAAACCATTATCACACACAGGGAATAAAAATTAGCTTCTGTTTTAATCCAATAATCAGATGTACTAATAGGTGCAACATTATTCATCTTAGAAATATGAACTTTGAGTTAGTATAAGATTGACTTGCAGTAATTCTTGGCAGTCCAGTGGATAGGACTCTGTGCTTTCATTGTTGAGGGCCTGAGTTTGATCTCTCATCAGGGAGCTAAGATCCTGCAAGACTTGTGGCTCAGCTAGAGAAAAAGAAAAGAAAGGAAACTGAATCAATGTTGACTTGGAAGTTTCTAAAAATATTCACTGCAATTATAATACTCAGTTGCTGTAAAAAGAGAAATGATCAACAGGAAATATTTTAATATACCTGCTGCCAATATAGTTGCTGTCATATGAGGACATCCTTATCATTTTAACCCGATAAATAAAAAACCAAACCAAAATCCAGTGATAATAATACATGACAATATTTCATATTAATGTTCATGATAATAAAAATGCAGCTTATTTTTAAATCTTATTTTTAATGTTACAAATAACTTGATTAGTTAGTCAATTAAAGGTCTATTTTATGGCAAGCCTCTACCAAGTTCTGAGAATGGAGAGATGAATGGCAGTTTAATGGGAGTGACTGACATGCTTATCAATGACTGCATTAGTATTGTTAGTGCCATGTGAGGTATGTATCCTGTAGTGTGAATGCACAAAGGAGAGTACATCTCTCATGGGTGCATCCAAGAAGCTTCCAGTGGATCCCAGGATGCTTTGAGTTTGGAGGTACCAGTAAGCATTAGCCAGAATGATGGGAGGGTAAAAAGCATTTCGAGCAGGCAGCATGATTACAACGTGTGAAAGCATGAAAACATTGAATGTCATAGGGTGAACAAAGAATTCCTAATGGATTTAGTTTTGTTTTTCAATTTGTCATTTTAATTTGGTAGTGATTTGAGTACAGAGTGTGTATGAGAAGTAGAAGGAGATGGATACAGAGCAAATCTTTAGGGTCAGAGACTAAATGACACATATACCAAGGATAATCAGTGTTATCCTGAAGGCCTCTAGGGATCTCTTAAAGAATTTAAAGTGGGAGAAGGGCATAGTAAAACTTGTGCTGTAGAAAGAGCTCTGGCATCAATGTGGAAAATATGTGGTCAGAGAACGGAATATAGACTATAGTTTTTAGGAGCTACTGTCTAACTCAGGTGAAAGATGATATATATGACATGACATATTAGAGATGGAGAAAGGAGATTAAATTTTAGGATATTTATGGAAGGAATTGGATGTGTGTGTGTGTGTGTGTGTGTGTGTGTGTGTGTGTGTGTGTGTGTGTGTGTGATGTGATAGTGAAGGAGGCTGGTGAATCTCAAGTTTCTGATTTGGACAGCTGGAAATATTGTTGAGTCATTCACTGAGACCAAGAATCCACGAAAAAAGCAGAGTTGGAGATGTGGGGAGAAGGTGATAATAAGATCAGTTTTGAACATGTTAAGAGTCATCTGAGTAAGAGGTGACCAATGGCCAATTAGACATAGGTCTAGTACTTGGAAGAAAAGTCTAAGTTGGTGGTATAGATTGTTTGATAGTGTTTTATGTTGATGTTTAGTTCTTAGAGTTGATGGCATATCTGGTACTTCCTTGTTTTTCTAGCATATTGCACAGGGCAAACTTTAGGGTTGCATACAATTTCCAAAACCTAACATTCTAGTCACTAGAATGAGCACCATTAATGAAAAAGAATAAAAAATCTTCTGTCAACCAGTACCAGTTTACTCTTTTCCCCAATCCAATAGTTGATATCATAGAGTAAGCTGAACTGATGGGCCAATATAAAGCCTAAATGAAGCCAGAATTAGATTGAAGAATAGCAGTAAAGTATGATGTTATCTACCTTGTGTGGCTTGAAAGACATTTGGTTGTGTCTGCTCAGGATTTCTTCTTTCATTTTTTGTCACATTGTCTGAAATTTCATCAGTTCCATTAGAGTCATTCCATTGGACCATCACGAGTTTTCATTTTTAAGGAGTTGTTTGGTGAATACCCTAGTTAAAGGTAATAACGTGGAAATTATCAAATGATCTTACTGGAGTTTGTAATATATTAGAGCTTTTCGGGATAGCTAGAGAAAGGCTGATTGAGATAGGAGCAGACTGGTTGGTTTTGTTCCACTTGGTCACATCTCATTGATATTTCCTTAAAGTTAATTAAATAATGAAAAATTAATGATTTTAATAATGGAAATAATGGAAGAAATTTCTTTTTTATTAAATTCACATTCCTTCCCCTCAGAAGTTAAAGTTACTACACTTTTAGAAAACACGATTAAAGATTCTGTATAGTCCCCAAATAATCTTTAAATACCAGTGAAATTGTTAGTAAGAGAGAAATAACATTTTGCTATGTTACAAAGAAGATGGAGGTGTGTGATGTGAACTACAGTATGTGAGATTTGTTGAAGTTGGACTTTATTCTCTTACTTATGTATATCTTCACATAAGTATACAATAAGACTTTTTATTATGGCAATGCTACCTTCTAAAATAAATACCCCCCAACTTAAGTAGTTTAACACAATAGAAGCCTATTTCTTGCTCATATAACAATCCAAACAATTGATCCTTGGCATATGGCATTCTTCTGTGCTCTGATTCAGTGGCTTTGCCATCTCCTGGGGCCTTATTGTCATTTTCATACAGCTAGCAGAAGGAGAGAGAAAGTATGGCGAAGTTTCACTTGCCTCTTAAGTTGTTGCATGCGTGGAAGTGACACACATCACTTTTGCTCTCATTCCATTGGTGAGAACTAGAGACATGTCCATACCTAGAGGTGCAGAATGCTGGAAACTGCATTCCTGGCTGGGCAACTGTTTCCCAATAACAAACCTATACAATGCAAGGGGGAGGACAGAATTTTATGGATACCTAGCTGCTTGGACTATACGATATTAATAGATTTGCACAAAACACAAAGATCACACATAAAAGTTACTTATTATCTTATAACTGCACTTGAAGTATATGATGATGTCTGTGTAAAAATAAAACGCTTTAGGTTGATACTTTTCAATAGTTCTGCATTTTCATTAGCATGAAGTGCTAACTTTTCATTACTTATGTTATTTCTGAGATCCCTTGAATATGAGCAAGAATATTGACTTCTATATTCATTATGTGTGAAAAACTGAGACTTTCTTTCCTTATGTTTAAGGTTGGACAAAATTTGCTCGATTGACACGGGCTTTGACAAATAGCCGAAGTGTTTTGCAACAGCTCACGCCAATGAATAAAACAGAGGTGGTCCACAAACATTCAAGACTAGCTGAAGTAAGTGCAAGATTAACCTTACCTCTCAACATGCTGGTGGTGGTACATTTCCCCCATCCAAATGTCTCAATATTGATATTTCTAGCCATTATTTTACAAATACTTATGTGTTGATTTTCCCTTGTAGAATTGTAGAAATTTCATATATTTCTTTTTATGCTTTCCTGCTTTGACAATGGGAAGGTACTTTAAAACATCCCAGGTGATGTCTGTAGAATATGAGGTTTTCTTTGAGCAAATGAGATAGAAAGTTCATTCATTCACTTGTGTGTGCAGCATAGACTTATTGAGGGTTTGCTCTATGCTAGGTACTATGTAAAGGACATAAAGATGAATAGGCCATGGACCCTATCATCAAGGAGTTAAATATCCAGCAGAGGAGGGAGGTGGTACCTGAATGAAATGATACCTGGGCTAAGTGAATTTTTTTTTTTAGATTATAGTTGATTTATAATGTTGTGTTATTGGTTTCTGGTATACAGCAAAGTGATTATATATATATAATATAGTATATATTTTTTCATATTCTTTGAATCATAGGTTATTATAAGACATTGAATATATAGTAGTTATAAGATTTTAAATATATGTTGTTTATCTATTTTATGCATAGTAGTTTGTATCTGCTAATTCTAAGCTCCTAATTTTTCACTCCCCCCTTCCCCTTTGGTTACTTTAAGTTTGTTTTCAAAGTCTGTGAGTCTATTTCTATTCTGTAAATAAGTTAATTTGTATCATATTTTATATTCTCTATATAAGTAATATATCATATTTGTCTTTCTTTGTCTGACTTACTTCATGTAGTTTGATAATCTCCAGATCCATCCATGTTGCTGAAAATGGCATTATTTCATTCTTTGTAATGGATGAGTAATATTCCATTGTATATATGTACCACATCTTCATCTATTCCTTTGTCCATGGGCATTTAGATTACTTCCATGTCTTGGCTATTGTAAATAGTTCTGTTATAAATATTGGGGTGCGTGTATCTTTTCAAATTAGAGTTTTCTCCAGAATTATTGGGCTGAGTGAATCTTGAAGGAAAAATGTAGTGAAGAAGAGATGAAGGTGATTTATGCAAGAGAGGCCAGCATGTCCAAAGACTCAGCGATGAGATAGTATGGTGCCTTTGACTGTGAATTCAATGTGGATGAAGTCAGGTAGGAAAGGAAAGGTTAAGGTGGTATATAGTGAACAGTGGTGGTTGGTGTCCCATGTGCCAGGGAAATGACATTGTCATATTTGTGCGTCACAAACCTCTCAAAGGGAGATTGGTCTCAATGGTATTTATAATCTTGTTTTAACTGTATTGGAAACATTATTCTAAGAAGTTGACATCCATAGATGTCACCAGATTCCCGAGAGACCCATGGAACAAAAATGGTCAAGAACCCTTGTTTGACCTAGTGGCTCTGTGTTGAAATGGGAACTAGAGAAACAAGTTAAGAGGTTTTAGTAGTAATTCAGCCAGGACAACTCTGACCTTAAGCAAGGGAGCCAGTAGCTGAAGAGGGAAGATTGCAGATGTGCTAAGATCAGAGTCAACACATTTGTTGATGGGTTAGAAATGAATGTGAGAAAGGGGATGAGTCAAGCACAACTCTATGTTTTTGGCTTGAACAACTGGATGGACAGATAGTATTGTTGTTGTTCAGTTGTTAAATTGTATCCAACTCTGCGATCCCAGGGACTGACTGCAGCATGCCAAGTTTTCCTGTCCTTCATTACTCTCAGAGTTTGCTCAAATTCATGTTTATTGAGTCGGTGATGGTATCTAACCATCTCATTCTCTGCCTCCCTCTTCTCCTTTTGCCTTCAATCTTTCCCAGTATCAGGGTCTTCTCCAGTGAGTTGTTCTTCCCATCATTTGGACAAAGTATTGGAGCTCTAGCTTCAGCATCAGTACTTCCAATGAATATTCAGGGTTGATTTCCTTGAGGATGGACTGGTTTGATCTCCTTACAGTGCAAGCGACTCTCAAGTCTTTTCCAACACCACAGTTTGAAAGCATCAATTCTTCAGTGCTCAGTCTTCTTTATGGTCCAACTCTCACATCTGTATATGACTACTGGAAAAATCATAATTTGACTCTGTGGACCTTTGTCAGCAAAGTGATGTCTTTGCATTTTAATATTCTTTCTAGGTTTTTCAGAGTTCTTCTCCCAAGGAGCAAGTGCCTTTTAATTTCATGGCTACAGTCACCGTCTGCAGGGATTTTGAAAGCGAAAGCGAAAGTTTCTCAGTTGTGACCAGCTCTTTGCAACCACATGGACTACTATAGTCCATGGAATTCTCCAGACCAGAATACTGGAGTGGGTAGCCTTTCCCTTCTCCAGGGAATCTTCCCAACCCAGGAATCAAACTAGGGTCTCTTGCATTGCAGGTGGATTCTTGGAGCCCCCACCAGATAAAATCTATCACTACTTTCATTTTTTCCCTTTGTACTTGCCATGAAGTGATGGGACCGGATGCCAAGATCTTAGTTTTTTGAATGTTGAGTTTTAAGCCAGGTTTTTCACTATCTTCTTTCACTCTCATCAAGATGCTCTTTAGTTCCTCTTTACTTTCTGCCATTAGGGTAGTATCATCTGCATATCTGAGCTGTTGATGTTTCTCCTGGCAATCTTGATTCCAGCTTATGATTCATCCAGTCCAGCATTTCACTGATGCACTCTGCATATAAGTTAAATAAGCAGGGTGGCAACACACAGCCTTGTAGTACTCTTTTCCCAATTTTGAACCAGTCAGTTGTTTCATGTCTGGTTCAAACTGTTGCTTCTTGACTTGCATACAGGTTTATCAGGAGACAGGTAAGGTGGTCTGGTATTCCCATCTCTTGAAGAATTTCCCACATTTTGTTGTGATCCACACAATCAGACTTTAGCACAGTCAATGAAGCAGAAATAGATGTTTTTCTGGAATTCTCTTGCTTTTTCTATGATCTAGTGGATATTGGCAATATATTTGATCTCTGTTTCCTCTTCCATTTCTAAATCCAGCTAGTACATCTGGAAATTCTCAGTTCATGTATTGCTGAAGCCTAGCTTGAAGGGTGTTGTCCATAACCTTACCAGCATGTGAAATAAGCACACTTGTATGGTAGTTTGAATGTTCTTTGGCATTGCCCTTCTTTGGGATTGGAATGAAAATTGACCTTTTCCAGTCCTGTGGCCACTGCTGAGTTTTCCAAATTTGCTGGCATATTGAGTGTAGCACTTTAAAAGATGGTGGCTACTGTTGGTTAATAAGATCTCAGATAGAAGAGGAATAAAAGGAGGTTTGGGGACAATGATAGTAGATTTACTCTTGGGCCTACTGTTTGAAGTTCCTGATAGGAAATTCAAGCGGAGATCTTTAAAAGAAAGTGGGGTTTATGGGTCTGCCTCTCAAGGGGTATCTGGGTTTGAGTTGCAGGCCTTGGTATCATCCTCACAGATACGGCTGTTAAAGTCAGAGGACTGGGTGATGTTACCCATACAGAGTGTATTGAAACCAAAGAGAAAAGGAATGAGGACAGAACTCCAAGGCAGCTAGAAATTTTGCTGTTGACATGTTTTACATAATCATCTTGTGTCTTACTGGTACAAAAGATGGCAAAATAACTAATCAAGTTACCATGACTGTGCTGAGCACTTACTGGGCACTCACAAAATATTCTGAGGTAACTAACCAAGGAAGACAAAGATATAGTTAAATATGTAAGTTCATCAGTTTGTTTTGCTGGTGAAAGGTTAGCTGAATTTCTCCAGAGTAACTTTCTTAACTTGTTGCAGATACTAGGTTTCATTTGGAGAAAGTTAGGGAGCAAAAATTCTTCAAATTGGGAGACTTCTGGAATTTTTCTTGGAACATAGCTAACAGGGTAATGTGTCTGATTTTCTGGTACCTTTGAGGAGAGAGTAATACTTCGATGTGTAGAAATATTTTTAAAAGCCCTAGTAAGACGTTAACATACTTAAATGTTAAATGATAATAGTAATCGAAATATTTTAAAAGATAATATGCAGTTGGCACAAGATTTAATGCACTCAATCAGATACAACTTCCTGTTTCATATGTTTTTTATTAAGTACTACTTGATTTTGAAGCTACTTTCTTTTCTGCCTTCAGTTGTTTGTTTCTTTCTATAAATCAAGGTAAAGTGTAGGAGCTTATTTCTGTGACTACTGACTTTTTTGTCGTTGATTCTTTCTAGGTCTTAACTACACCCTATCCAGTTTTTCCTTCTTTGTTAATACAACTGAGCAAGCACATGAGGAAAGAGACTATAGAGAGGAAAAATTTCTACCTTAGCACCCCAAATCACTGAAGATGGTTTTTTCCTCTGCTTCAAATGGAGAGTTCCTATCCCCTGGACAGCTCATCACTTTTCATTTTTACTCTTGATGAATTTTCATTCCTGTTTCTTCCCATCTGATTTTTTTCTTTGTTTGCTTTGCCTTTTGGTTATTGTTCATTTCTTTATCTGTCATCCCTAATTTGTAAAGCTGATTCAGATACAAAACTGCTTTGTCAGATCTTAGGCCTTGATTTCAGAGAACATGTGGAAATAGCAAGTTTTTCTACACAGAGAGTTAGTCTATGTATACTCTTAGGTTTTCAAAGACTGACCAAAAAGAGGCACCAAGTTAGCATAAAGACAGTTTTTCCAGCTGTAGTCAGAATCATGTAATTTGCTCAGCTTGAGTATTTGAATTTGCTGTTAAATTTCCGGCCCTTTCACTTTTTCCAACACATATACATTTTATCTTATTTCCACTAGGCCTCTTAAATTTAGAGCTGATCCCCGGTTTCAAGGATTCTGGTCTCTGTGTAGGCAATTCATCAGTTTTCAACATGCTCTGTCATTCTACTGATTGAATTCAGCTTCCACTTGCATTTGTGGTTCTGACTCCTTTAGAGTCAGTGTTCTCCTGATATTCAGGAGGAAAGAATGTGTCTGTATCAGTGCAAAAATACATCAGGGCATGTGATTTCATCCCCATCTATCCAAGGCTTACTGCTCCTGAAAGTACAAATGAAATAAAGCGAACAGTTGTTACTCACTGCTTTATAAAACCCCCCGTGACCGGGCTGAGATTAAAGCAGCGCTCTACATGGGAGAAACATCAAACTGAAGCACATGGCGTGCCCCGTCCCTTTCTTTGCTGGCGCTGCCTTTCTTCTCCTCTTCCTGCTCCTCCTTTTTCTCTTGGAGCAGTTTTGGATTGCTTTAAAAATTCAAGTCACCATCTGAAGAACTGGGTTATGAGTGTTTAAAGAAATAGAAGACAAGGATTTTTATTTTGATCTATACACTATCATCACCTGGAAAGATTTTGAAAGTACAGATTCTCTGAATTTAATTTAATACACAAAATGAATTTAATTATTTTCTGGCATAGGGGTCTAGGCATGAGTATACTGTATTTTTAACAACTTCTCTAGATGATTCTAGTTTGTAGCCAGATTTAAGAAATACTGAACTCAAAAGTGAGTTCATCTCTAGAGGAGACACCTTATATTATTCCAGGGTGCTGAGTGGGACCAATTTGTCTATTAGCACAGAGTGTAGCACCAATAACACTTTCAGGGGTCCACCACGATGCCTGAATTTCTACTAGCAGTTGAAGGAAACGATGAACTTTTAGGTAAAAAAATAAATAATTAAATATTCATCTTTGTAATAATGCTGTTAAAATAAAAATATAATTTTAAATAAAAATATTAAATAAGCTATATTTTTATTTAAAATGTAATTTTAAATAAAATTTATACATTTACGTTGCATTTATATTTAAATAAAGATAAAGATAAATAAAAATAAAGATTATATTTAAATAAAGATAAAAATATTAAATAAAATAGAATTTTTATTTTATTATTTTTAAGGAGGAAGGGGTCCAGGAAGGCAAAAATAAAGGTCCTAGTGCAACCTGGCACTGAGTTTATTTTCTATGTGTGTTTCTTTGTGCTTAAACTACAGAGTGTGTAAATGCAGATGGTATAATACTAACAATGAATATGAAGGAAATTTTCATGTTTAACCGTGATGTTGGAATGAATAGATCTGTAGTTGAAAGGTGAAAGAGAAGCCATGATTCTGTAGGAGTCTGTATATGTAATTCTGTGTCTCAACATGAAACTTAACCTACCTGTAGGATAATTTGTTGCTAAGTAATTTAAGATCTCATGGAAAAAGTATTACTGGGGTACTGATAATGAGCATAAATATGTAAAAATCTTTATAAATAATTCTTATAGCTCCCAAACTTAAAACAATAATTATAATATAAATCTAAAGAGAATATCAGTGATTTTTGCAGATTTCAAAATAGCAATGATTATATTATATGCTGTTTTCAGCTGTATAAGTTCTATGTATGAGAGACTTCAGGATAAGTCTCAAATTTCAAAAAATGCTAGTTTATTTATTTTGCTTTGAGGCATATAAATTACAGGCTAACAGGTATTTTTGTTTACCTCTATGTGTGCATTGACATAAATTTAGTGCATTTATGATTTTATAATTTGAACTTGTTGACTCCTATTTTCTGGGTCCCATTAGTCTTAGGGACACTGAATAATTGAATGTGTAAGTGGTAAAGCTGCTGAAAATATTGTTCATCAAAGTCCCACTTATAAACTCCTTAATATACAGGTTTACTCAGTTATAGCTTCATTGGTGGCATGAAGCAGAGGTCTTCAACCCGCTTCTTCAACGCCTTTTCACAATTTCCATGTTCCAGGTTCTGGAAGGAGGTGCCAAGTACTGTGTTTGTTACCTTTTCCCAGGGTCGCCCAGACCTCTGCTCTTGCACTGTCATCTGCTTTTTCTCATTGTCTCTTTAGTGAGACCTAATCAGTATAAGTCAGGGTTCATATAAACTTGTATGAAAAATTGTCAAATTGTCAAAAAGGTATGGAGAAACAAACCTGACTATTTGGAATTTTTTTCTAAAGGAAATTTGCGTCTGGGTAGGAAATCCAGTATTCTTTAAATCTGATTGAAAGGGAAATGGGGGAAAGCAGGCTATAACATTTATAACTCTGATACTGCTGTGCCCATCAGTAGGGCCCTGGTTGAGTCCCATGCAACAGCAAGATCATGAATAATGGGGCCCTGGGATTCAGCAAGGCCTTTAGAATCAGTTATGCTCCTTCAAAGCCCAAATATATAAAGAATGGATAATGGTGAGCCATGCAAATAATAGCTGGACAGTCTGTGAGATGTGTGATTCTAGGCACCTTTGCCCAGTGGATGTGCAGAAGGCACTTCCAGTAGTGGATGTCCAGCAGTGCTGTGGATCAGTGTTGGTGTTGGAGGAGGTCATCAAGAGGAGGGGACTGCCAGGTGATCCTTGAGCTGGACCCAGGCAATTGGAAGCTCCTCACCCCCTCCCTTGTCCTTGAAATGTACTTTCTTCCCACCATTCCCATCGTGAGAGCTTTTCAAGGATACAGTCTTGAGAGAGTTAGCTGTGGTTGAGACCATCTGGACTGTGTATATGACTGAAGCCAGTTAAACCCCTGTATAAACTTTTAAGATTTGGTGGTGGGTTCTGAGACCTCTGGTTTTATGGCTACCCAATAAAACCTTGTAAGTTCCCTTGCCTATGAAAACTGCCACCTGCCAATCTGGAGTGGTCTGCCTTTCTTTGGTCTCTTTCTGCCCTCCGTGTGTGGGGACCAGTTTCTGAACGAGTTGGCCACGGGAGAGGAAGTTAGAGGGAATGGCAGACAGGTCAACTTTGATAGAGAGATTGGACTTGTAGTGACTTTGGACAAACCTTGATACAACTCAGGAGAAGAGATATAATTACAGAGCATAGCTGGCTTTGAGACCAGTGGTTTGGCTGCCAGAAAATTTGAATTCATTACTAACTTTGCAGAGATGTATGGGTCACTTATAAATACATTTTGTTTCTTTTAGGTTCTTCAGCTGGGATCAGATATCCTTCCTCAGTATAAGCAAGAAGCGCCAAAGACACCACCACACATTATTTTACACTATTGTGCTTTTAAAACAACTTGGGATTGGGTGATTTTAATTCTTACTTTCTACACCGCCATTATGGTTCCTTACAACGTCTCCTTCAAAACGAAGCAGAACAACATAGCCTGGCTGGTGCTGGACAGTGTGGTGGATGTTATTTTTCTGGTTGACATTGTTTTAAATTTTCACACAACCTTTGTGGGACCTGGTGGAGAGGTTATTTCTGACCCCAAGTTGATAAGGATGAATTATCTGAAAACTTGGTTTGTGATCGATCTGTTGTCTTGTTTACCTTATGACATCATCAATGCCTTTGAAAATGTGGATGAGGTAAGTTTCTTTTTTTTTTTTTTAGTACTTTAATCACGTGTTTTGAGAAAATTAGGATAAAAAGAGTTTATAAATAACATAAACTTCTTTATAGTCACCACTTTCAACTTTTATCCTGCTAAATACCTGCCATAAATGATCATATTTTATTACTTTATAATTTTTACTCACTCTTTAAAAAATATCTGGTTGAAAATACTAGGAAATGGCTGTGGTTGAAAGTTGTGTTTGAAGGAGGAGAAGAAAAGCCACAGCCTTTGAAGTCAAATATGGTTTATGAAATAGACAGTTGATTGAAAGATAATGAAATAGATGTATTTTTTGGGGAAAACAGTAGCATTTTAAAACGCTGTGCACCCACAGATGCTTTGATTCCTCCCCTCCAGATACATATGGTAGCAGTGCTTGTGTTAACAAAAAGATCCAGAAAACTTTTATGGTAGAGAAATTCTTGAAGTTTTGCCTTTTTGGTTTCTCTTTTTTATACTTTTTTCTTTAAATTTTGCCTAATCATTTGTGGTTAGAGACTGTATTAGATGACTTCCGATATCTGGTCTAATTCAAGATTTTGCTTATTCAGTGTCATCTGCACAACTAGAAATGTTAAAACATATGTAATGTCTTAACGACCATTTCATCCAGAGCTTCTGAGTTTCTAACTTAGTTGTGGATGATTTTCAACTTGCTATACCAAGAATGTATATAAATGAATCAATATAGAATGTATCTGTTTTTAAAATGTGTTCATAATAGTAATTGCAAACTTAATTTCCCTAAAGATTCTACTCTGTCCTCATAGACTGTTCAGATAGAAAATTCTCCACTACATTGTTGTTGTTCTGTGTGTGTAGGGAGGTAGATTGCAACTTTTCTTCAGGATCTTTTTCCATAAAGATTTCTGCATTGAATCAGCTTTAATGATACTAAAAAATATTTCCAGAAAGTTTAGTATAGACATTGTATTTTGATGCTATACACATAATTGTTACTTTAAAAATTCAAGGAAAAAAGAATCATAGTAATTTGTTTCTAATTTTAAATTCCATCTACATCAAGCTTTTAAGGTATATTTCTTTCCTATTTCCCTTCTGGAAGGATTGATATGGGTTCATTTTGAAAATGCTAATCTTATGATAAGAAGATAATAAGTAGTATTTATATGTTCACTTACTTATATTAAATAGATTAATATATTAAGATCAATGCATTAAGATTTCCATTATTTAGAACATTGGCATAAAGATTTTAATACAAATAATCAAAAGATTGGTTTAGTTCACAGAAAAGAAAATAAATTAGATTGCATAATAATAAATGCATCTAATATACTATATAAATAAATGACAATATCTTCAGATTTATTAAGGAAAATGCAAAGTAAACTTACAGACTATACTGACATGCCATCAGTTATCACACATACTGGGTTGGAGAATATGTTGTCTGAGAATGTGTACTGCTTAGATCTCCCTTCATGGAAGCCTGCTGCACGAAGCACAGTTAGGGGCTTCCTGGAAGTGGCTCCTGGTTTGGAAAAGACATTCTTTAGCATCCCTTTCAAACTCAGCATTCAGTGATATCACACTGTCACCCTGGTACTTTGAAACTGGCCACAATGGGAGTATTTACACCCTTAAAGTGGCAAATGCTATAAATAAAGGCTTAAAAAAAAACTTTCTATGGCATTAGTTGTTAACCATTTACCAATATACCACTGAATGCAGTTGACTGACACTTGCTATGGCTTTCTGATCTGCTGTGGGTCACAGTTCGAAGCTGTTTCCCCAAGGTTGCACTCAACCAATGCCTAGGGATAGTGGTAATATTATGATTGGGCTTATCAGATGGCTCAGTGGTAAAGAATCTACCTGCCAAGCAGGAGACGTGAGTTTGATCTCTGGGTTGAGAAGATTCCCTGGAGAAGGAAGTGGCAATCCACTCCAGCATTCTTGCTTAGAAAATCCAATGAACAGAAGAGCCTGGCTACAGTCCATGGAGTCACAAAGAGTCAGATATGACTTAGTGATTAAACCACCACCACCAATATTATAATTAGTTACTCCTGCTCAAGAAGAACTCCTCTGCTGAGCACCTTTTGCCCTGGAACTTCCCATTTACCTGTGCTGTGGTTGAGGCTCTTTCTACACAATTCTTCCTTCCATCTTCAAAGGTTTCAGATGTGCACTGTGATCTGAAGACTCCTCCCTCCTTTCTCCTTCATAGGCATTTATCTCAGTGAAAGTCTTGCATATCTAACCTTGACTTGGTATCACTCAGTAAGGGATCTGAGCTGATGTAGTGGTGGTATGAAGTCTCTTATACATTGCTCAAGGGAATACTGGTAAAACTTACATGAAGAATAATTGGCAATATCTAATTTTTTAAAAGAGAAGACCCTAGAGACAACCGCTTTCAGACTGTTTAGGGGATTCTTTTAATATTTGCTCCCATCACCAAACAGCAAGACTGTGTACAACAGCTTTCAGACTGTTTAGGGGATCTTTTAATATTTGCTTCCATCACCAAACAGCAAGACTGTGTACTTACCCCTTTTGGGACTTGTCTTTGACTTCTCACTATGAAATTGGAGCTTTCAGCCTCTTTCTCCCTGCCCTCACTGTATCCATGCACTTATTTCCATCACCTCATTCTCACACTATAGATATATCATTCTTTTGGTTGCATAAATAGTGTTTATATCACCGTGTCTACAAATAATGCTATTTATAACTGAAAGTGAAAGTAAAAGTCACTCAGTTGTGTCTGACTCTTTGTGACCCCATGGACTACACTGTCCATAGAATTCTCCAGGCCACAATACTGTAGTGGGTAACCTTTCCCTTCTCTAGGGGATCTTCCCAACCCAGGGATTGAACCCACATCTCCCTCATTGCAGGCAGATTCTTTACCAGATGAGCCACAAGGGAAGCTCATTTGTAACTGAACCTTCAACATATGCTTTATTGTGAGTCCATTTTCACCCGTTTTGCTGGGCACTGTCTGGGTAGTCTTTTTCAATCTGGAAAAGCATGTCTTCTGTTTCAATTTTGTTTCTTATAATTTTTCTCCATCTCCTTTCCCACTCTTCTCTGTTCTCTCTCTTGTTGAAACTCCTTTTATTCTAATACCTACTAGACTTTTCTAATTCCTTTTTCTCTCTTTTCCTTATTTTCCAATCCTTTATCTTTTTGCTATACTTTCTGGAAAATTTTCTCAACATTATTTTCCAACTTTTCTTGTAACTAATAATGACTTTATTTTCCCCTTAAAGTTTGTTTGACTTGATACTAAGAGCTAAACTAGCATTTGTATATTACTTGATATATGTATAACTTTTCTTGATTTATGCTTGTCAAATGGGCACATACATCATTTCATTTTAGCATATCTGTTTATATATAAAATTTTTATCTCTTATCTAGACATCAAAGCAAAAAATTGGATATCAAAGCTAATTGTATTCATATATTTATTTTGTCGCTTTTGAGAAATTTCAGACCCTCCATTAAGGGTATATTGGAAATTGCTATTTAATATAATTTGATCACCATTACTTTTTCATTAATACCTTTAGATAATTGAAAATCATGTTTGAGTGGTATAGGAGAGGATTTCATAGTATTTATTTTTAGTTTTACTAGTTTTAACCTTATTAAATCCATAGAAATATTGCCAAGTCACCTTATAATTATTGATTTTTCTTATTAGTATGATAATAAGACTGTTTTAAAGAGCCATTTTAGGTTCACAGCAAAATTGAAAAGAGCTACAGAGACTTCCCATAACAGAGGTTGCCCCCACACACGCATAACCTCCCCCGTTATCAACACCCCCCACCAGAATGAAACTACATTGACACATCATATTGTTCAAAGTCCATAGTTTACAATAGGGTTCACTCATGGTGTTGTGCAGTTTATGGATTTTTGACAAATGTCAAATGTCCTAAAACTCTGTGCTCTGCCTCTTCATCCCTTCTCCCTTCCTAACCTCTAGCAACCACTGATCCTTTTACTATCTCTATATCTTTGCATTTTCCAGAATGTCATATAGTTGGAATCTACAGTAAAAAGCTTTTCTGATTGACTTCTCACTTAATAATATGTATGCATTTAAGGTTGGACTTTAAGGAGATCCAACCAGTCCATCCTAAAGAACACCAGTCCTGGGTGTCCATTGGGAAGAACTGATGCTAAGGCTGAAACTCCAATACTTTGGCCACCTCATGTGAAGAGTTGACTCATTGGAAAAGACCCTGATGCTGGGAGGGGTTGGGGGCAGGAGGAGAAGGGGACGACAAAGGATGAGATGGGTGGGTGTCATCACTGACTCGATGGATATGAGTTTGGGTAAACTCTGGGAGTTGTTGATGGACAGGGAGGCCTGGTGTGTTGCGATTCATGGGGTCATAAAGAGTCAGACACGACTGAGCGACTGAGCTGAACTGAACTGAAGGTTCTTCCATGTTTTTTCATGGCTGATAGCTAATTTGAGTGCTGAATAATATTCCATTATCTGGACATATCAAGTTTATTTTTCCATTCACCTACTACTGAAGGATATTTTGATTGCTCCCAAATTTGGGTAATTATGAATAAAGCTGCTATAAACTTTTGAGTTTAGGTTTTTGTGTAGGCAAAACCTTTTGGGTAAGTTATCAACTCATTTCGGTGAATATCAAACAGCATGGTTGCTGGATCATATGGTAAAAATATGTTTAGTTTTGTTATAAATTGCCAAACTATCTTCCAAAGTGGTTTTCACCATTTTGCGTTTCCACCAACAATGAATGACAGTTCCTATTGACTCACATTCTCACCAGTCTTTGGCATTATTAATGCCAATAATTATTAATTTTTGATTTTAGCCATTCTAAGACTTGTGATATCTTGTTTTAATTTGCAATTTTCTAATGATAGATGAGTGGACTTCTCAGTTGGTGCTAGTGGTAAAGAACCTGTCTGCCAGAGCAGGAGATGTAAGAGACGTGGATTCCATCC